ACCTCAGAGATAGCTGATGAACTGATAGATAGAAGTTTCCCAGTTGAACGAGTCTCGCAATTAGTAAGACGCAGAAATGGAGAAAAAATTAATTATACTGCCCCTGTTTCTGGTTATTTTGAGCAGGAATGAAAACGCGAGAGGAATTCACAACAAAGCGAAGATATGTGGTCTCAATGTTAAGGTTGAAGCTTACAAAGGTAGGAAAAGGGCCGGTACAATGCTTTCGGTGTCAGACATTTCATCATGCTCAGGCAGGATGTATGCATATACTCAAAATCCGCCTTTGAAGAAATTCAGTGATAGAGTAGTTATCAATAAATCTTATGCCGCCGTTGTTAGCGGGCAAACCACGAATACTCTAGACGAAGCTAGAGGTATTTTTGAAGAGCTTAAAAACCTTGTTGAGGCTACTAAAGCCTCCGGCATTCTACAAGTAAATTTAACTCCTAGCGCAAATGATAGTAGTTTCAACGCGGACAATAATAAACCCAATCATGGATAGGGACGCCAATAATTTTAGGCCAATCAAGTTGTTAGTGTGGAACGCTAACAACATGAGACGAAAGAAAGATGAGTTGGAGGACTTTATGTATGAGAACGAGATTGATATTTGCCTGATCTCCGAGACGCACATCACCACCACAGGAGACAGAGTTAGCATAAAAAATTATAGAACCTACCGATGTGATAGGTTACATCACAGAGGAAGTGGAGCACTGATCTACGTTCATTGTAAATATTCATCATGTTTAATTTCGACTGAAAGATACCAAGGGCTATGAAATTGTAGTTGCCTATATTAACTTGCCTAAGATTGGAGATACCTTATTTGCGGCTATCTACAACCCCCAACTAATAGGCTAACTGAGGAAATGTTACAAAATATTATTCCGGATTCCTCAATAATGATTGTTGGTGGCGATCTCAATAGTAAGCATAAAGATTGGGGCTGCCGAAGCACCAACCACAATGGTAAAATACTGAGAGAGTATATCAGTAACCACCCAGTTTGGTATTTTTGCGCCTGACGTGCCGACGTTCAGGCCCAGCAACATCAGATACACGCCTGATATTCTGGATATCATTTTGTCTAATACAGGAATTAATATGGTGCTGGAGGTTCGAGACGACTTGAGCTCTGATCATACTCCTGTGATTGCTACACTAGGGGTCACCAGTATTAATTATACTGTTAAGACCCATACCGACTGGAGAATGTACCACAATGTTGTGAAAGTGAAGTACCTTAAATTAGGTGTTATGAAAAGCCCTTCTGATATTGACATGGAGATTGATAAGTTTATTACATGTTTTAATGACTGATAAAATGGAGGAGTTAGACGGTGACGCCTTCTGGCAGTTTAGAAAAATGTTAAAGAGGACGCATCAGTGTGATAGGCCAATTATTGCCAACGGCATGACTGCTTATTCAGATACTGACATATGTCAGATTTTCGCTTCACATCTTGAAAAGCAGTTTTCTCCCAATCGGACACCTTGTAATATTTATTTTGAGAACCAAGTCGGAATGAAAGTAGAATAATGGCTAGGTGCTCCCATGGTTCTAAATGCCGATGGTTTAACTAATCTAAGAGAAGTTACGGATATTATCTCCAAATTGAACCCCAAGAAAGCCCCGGTATTGATGGAGTTACGAACTTAATGATCAGGAACCTCCCGCGCGGTGGGATCACAAGACTCACCAGCATTTTTAATATTTGCATTACGTTATGCTACTTCCCGGACTGCTGGAAGTACGCAAAAGTTTTCCTACTACCGAAGCCTGCAAAGGACATCACTAAGGCGGAGAATCACAGGCCCATAAGCTTGCTCTCTAATATAGGCAAGATCTTTGAACGAATAATTTTAAGGAAATTCCAGCCTTATTTACAGTTACTTCCGGAAGATCAGTACGGATTTAGGAGCGAACTTTGCACATCTAAACAACTGATTAGGCTTGTGGAATTTATCGGCTCTGCTCTGCATCATAAGAGTTGTACTGCAGTGCTCATGCTGGACGTGGCCAAAGCATTTGATCGCGTCTGGCATGAGGGCTTAATATATAAATTGATAATGATGAATTTGCCTAGAGAACTGATCTTACTCACCCGATCTTATATTGCAAATCGTTACTTTACAGTTAGCTGCAAGCAGAGTCATTCTGGATACAAAACTATCGCTGCAGGCGTCCCCATAAGGGGTCCTGTCTTGGTCCAGTACTCTATCTTTTCTATGCGGCTGATTTCCGCGGGATATAACTCAACAGAAATACATTGCTGGCCTGCTACGCGGATGACACCGCTGTAGCGGTCAGATCTATTCAGCCTAACAGGGCAATTTCTGTTATGCAGGATATTATTATGGACATTGAGGAGTGGTGCTCCAAGTGGAAGATTTCCATCAATGCGACTAAATCACAGCTACTTCTTGTTAGAAGGAAGAAAATACTGGTCTCAGTTCAGCCACTTTACCTATTCGGCCAACGTGTCCCGATGGTAAACAAGGCCAAGTATTTAGGTGTTTACTTGAATCAAAGACTCACGTGGAGTACGCATGTCAATTACATTGCAAACAAGACCAGAGGAGTTGCTCAACAATTACAAGTACTGCTAGGGCGCAGCTCGCAGTTAGATCTGAGAAGGAAAAGGCAGATTTATATTTCTATTTTACGACCAATTATGTGTTATGCGTCCCCTGTCTGGGCGACTGCTACGAGCTCAGATATCAACAAATTGCAGATGACTCAAAACACAATCTTACGCACCATTACAGGAGCGCATTTTTACATCCGTAACAAACTCCTGCACGATGATTTACAAGTTGAATATATTGAGAAATATCTGCAAAAACTTAACAGCAAGTTCTTTGACAAAGGTTTGAATTGCAGTAAAGGAAACTTTAATGCTGTACTGAACTATGTCTGCATTCCTGAGGACTACAATATCAGGCCTTTTACGGCTCACAGAATGAGGGATCACAATTTTGTCACTTAGCCCACTCGTTTTTAAATATGTAAATAACACATTTTCATGCGTACATTACTTCACTTTCATTTGTTTATTACATGTTTAACACTGTTTCCTATGCACATTTCATGTATTTTCATTTCTTTTGCATCTTCATAGCTCCATACACGTGATTATTATTCTTGTCTCAGGGCTGAGAGTTAAGTTACTTTGATGATCGGACTTTTTGTCACTATGGCCGATGGGCCCTCTTTTCCTTACCTCCTCCGATTTCCCGGCTGGGAACTAGCTGATAGTTGACACTCTGATTGTCCTCAGGGGATTAGATCAATATAGATTGTTAAAGCTCAACTGAGCTAGTATAAGCATAAGCAATTAGCATTTTAAGCATTTAAGTAGGCTCGGGAGGCCAGGGACACCAACCAGCGACTGAGCTGGGAGACACTACCACATCCGCTATACTCCCCAGACCTTGCGCCAATAGACTACCACCTTTTCCAGTCCCTGGACAGTCATCTTCTTGGGAAATCCTCCAATAACCGGTCAGACCTCGAAAGGCCCTCGCGGACTTCTCATGCAGAACTCCTGAGCTTAACTGAGATGGCATTGCATAGTTAGCGGCTCGTTGACGAAAGGCACTGGATGCCGATGGTGATTACTTTGCGGATTAGCGGTGATTATTATTTGTTTTATTACTTTTTCTTTCTGACTGTCCAAAATTGCCAGAACTTTTTTGGTTACTTGTAAAATTTTTACATCATCTTCTTTTATATTACGGCACTTCTACAACATGGTTTTCCTCTAGTTCGATATACAAGAATTAAGGAAAGTTTGTCTATAACCCAGAATTACTGTTATATAATTTTGCTCACACTCATTTCGACCACACATCAAAGAAATATTCCTGCTGAATGTCTACTGCAGAAATGCGGTAACTCAGCCTTATACTCGTAGCATTATAAAATACAGCATAATTAATAGAAATTATTGTCAATCCCAAAATTAGAAAACAAGAATAATTAATACTTAAAAGCTGAACGACTGAAGTTATATTTTCTAAATGAAGATCTTTCCTGTTCTCTGTCCTAAATTTCAAACTTAGGACAGAACATCAGAAATGCTTAGCTCCAAAAGCAAATCGTCCTACCTAAAGGTAGACAATCAGAACAGCAGATAGTTTTAAAAATAATAGAGCACATAAGTTAAAATAATACTGAAGAAAGCTTCGCCGATGAAAACATTTTGCGAAAACAAAAACGTCTTCAGTTAAGGATAATTAGCAATGTTGTCGAAGAAATACATCTAATACTATTAAGCAGTCACTATTACAATAAGCACGCTTCTCAAGGTTACCAAATCAAACAGTGATGGATCTGTTTTTCTACCTTTGTTTAATCTTTTGGTTTCTAATCTTATTTTTATTTATTTAGTTTTTGAATTCACTGGTCTCTACAAACCACTAATAACCATATGACTTAATTCTGCAAACTCCTAATTAAATTAGAATTTAAAAGGTTTACCTCCTACTTATCAAATGAAACTAAGGGAAAGGCCTGGGAGTGTCTCACTAGTTCAAAGCCAATTATTCCAGATTTTCCTTGTCATGTAACCTTGGCATTATTTCGTCTTTTGACTGGCATAATTGTCTGAATGCCCATCTTTTTAAAATTTGACTTAAGAACTCTTTTGTCTGTAGTCTTTGAAACTCTGGTTAACAATTTCACTACACTATCATCTTTTAATTCTATTGTCCTTAAGTATTGGGAAGCAGGTTCGAGGCTAACGACTTAGTGTCCAAATGTCTGGCATTTTTATGAGTAAAATAAATGATTACATTTCCAGTATTATCATTTTTCAAAGGATCTTTCTGCTAGAGAATAATTACTTATTATAACTTTAGATCGATAAATAGGACTATACTTTTATTAAAGCAGTGAATCATGCTTAAATATTTACATCCTATTGTTGTGTGTTTCATTTTCCCCTTCCAAAATATTTTAATGTAAGATTATCCTTTTCTGTTGCAGATAAAGCTTAGAAGAAATGGAGCCCTTTATTGTCTTGGTGACAACTCTTATGATCTTACTCGTCGGAAATTTTTCTTGTGGAATTTTACCTGTGTTTTTTATCAAAATCGTCGGGTATTCATATGAAACTGAAGACGCTTCGAGGAGAAGGAGTAAAATCCTAGCTTTCTTTATATATTTCAGTGGAGGTGTTCTTATTTCAACTTGTTTTATGAGCCTGCTGCCTGCTTCAAGAAAGGAATTCGAGAAACATGAAATAAAGCTGCATAAAAGTACGTACATGTAACTTAGAATAATATTAGCCGAAAATACTATTTCTGTTTAATTTGTTTTCAAAGCTTTTATTTAGTTGAAATAAGAAAGATGTTGTGAAATTATTTTAAAAGTGCATGTATTAACAGTGCACTAATATGACTAACCTGTGATTAGAGCTAACTAGAACACTGATTACAAAACACCCATATTAGCATAGGTTCAAATTTTCCGAAGGGAACTTATAAGGCAAAAAGCAGTTTTTCTGATAATTCATGAAATCTTTGTTGCTAAAGCCGTACTTAAGGTTACCAAAGACCATTATTATACTGTTACATTATCTCTAAATAGTTTTAATTAAATTTTGATGTTCTAGTATATGCTTTCCTTCTGAATAATAACAATAACGGCAGCATGAGAATCCGACATATGAATTCAAACATTATACCTTGACAGTAGTAGGAAATACAATTAAACAAGCCAAAACAGTTTCAACTCCAATAAAAAATCTCCTAATTAAAATATAGAAAATGCATTACTAATATGATGCATAGAAGAGATAAATCGGGCAAGAATGTTAGACGTAGAAAATGCATATCAAGAAGCCAGAATGGAAACGTTTCTGAGAGGGGTTTAGTTAATAATTATGTTTCAGAAAACTAACCGCTTCTGAAGCATTTGTTTTTCTTTAATTCTCTAGCCAAATTTTCGAAGAAATAAATCTCAGAAATCGTACAGTGAAACTTATAGCGATGCTATAAGTGCAGATCTGCAAATCGGGCTCTTTTTGTAGTGTTTAAATTTTTCTACGGGTTGAAGAAACTAATTATGAAGAGATAAATAAAGAAAATCAACTATTGAGGACTGCAGAATCATTGGAAGAGAATAAAGAGTTCTTATGTTTGGGAAATGTTTCCGAAATAAAAATGCTGCTGGAGAACAAGTGCTTGCTTATTTAGCAACAATAGCTGAAGTTGTATTAAACTCACTTCATTCATTGGCAGCAGCTGCAAGAATGCGAGCGATGATAATGAATAACAATATTTCCAGTGACAATGAATAAGAATGAAATTCCAACGTCCCTAAGAAGGAATTAGCATATAAATAACAGTAGCATATAAATTAGAATAGCAGTAGCATATAAAATGGCATAAAAATTAATGTCACAGTTATGCTAAAATCGAGTTAAAATTATACAATAAATTAATACAGTGCTTCAGAATGCTAAATTTCAAAAGATATATCTGCTGTGAGAACTTATAACTGAAGGGATTTGTAATTTGTAAGTGACCAAAGCGAGATGAATTAAATTCATTTCACTCTCTTCATACATGTATAATATAGTTTTACATTAATTTTAGCTAAAATTAAAAAAAAGTAATATTACAATATCCCTAAATGGCAAAACGAAACAAAAAGCTCATAAAAATTCAATACGTCTTTTTCTGAATCTAAAATACCTTTTTTCTAACTACATTAAGCGCATGTTAGTTTATTTTCTTTGTATATATTGTTTCGGATCCTTACCTACTTATGTATTGTAATGCTTGCACCATCTGACTTGCACTCATGTCTTCTTTTCACTAATTTTCATTCCCCGTAAGTTATCGTCCTGCAAGCTCTGGAAAATTCAAGTTTATTCGATTTGGTGTAAGACCCTGTGACCAGGCATACATGTATCGAGTACCATTCTACTGATCTCCAAGAAGTACCACAGCGTGCACACCTGTCTCTTTTTTGGTTGTTCATAAATCGAATTTCTTTTCAAGTTTTGTATTTTTTTTTTCCATTTCCATGGTAAGCCGAGGAGTAAAGTCTGCAAGACAGAGACAACGAGTATAATACTTTCTTCAGATATCGTTTCAACCTACCTTAAGGAAACTCTTTTCCATGATATTTGAAATATTATGCAACTAGCACGTTTCCGCCATTTTTTATACTTCTACCCCTGTGATGGAATCGAATTGCCGGGTAGAGGATTATGCTCCTGTAATTAAAATAACCAGTGTCTATTTAATAAGATATTTTAAAATCATGACAGAAGTAAAGGTACAACTCTGATATGCGCCCTAATTTCACCAAATGTGGCGATATGTGTTCTGCGCTGGTTTTTGGCGCGATTGCGTGTTGTATGGCAACCCGTTGACGTGAAAATTTTTCGCTGGAGTTCGTTGTTCCCGTCATGCTTTGTGTCGAGAAGTAGGACGAAAGATTTAATGGTGAAATTGTTACTTGAAGTCGGCATAAGGATTATCGTCGTGGGCATCCTGTTTGGTCAATGCTATTGGAGGTGTGTAAAAAGTATGGAGATTATTTTTAGTGGCGTCTGATAGAATCGGGATGTGTGATATTTTTATTTTATTATTTGTGAACCATAGTATGAATTTTCTGTATGTATCTGGCGTCATATAAATACGAAGTGATGACGTGCGCATGTAAGGCGGTATGACTTGGTATTTCTGCTGTTCAAAAAGCATAATGTAAGTGCAGTTTTATTTTATTCTGTTCTTTTTTGAGAAGATTGTTCATTGCTTTAGTTGAATTTCTTCGTTATTTGTTTTTTGAAATTGTTTGAAATTATTTATTTTTGTTGATTTGTGCGTACCGTCTAATTGTGCATCGTCGATGTTTTTTAAAGTTGAACAGAACGCTTGTACATGGTATTCTTTGAATTTTATTGTTTTTGTTAATTTATTAAAGCAGGTTGCGTATTTCTAATTCGTTCGTTGCTTGATGGCCATTCGTAGTGTTTTTTTGTTAAACATATCGCGTTAATGGACTCTTGTCAAATAATTTTGGTTAGAAACTTCACGGTTTTGCTATCTAAATTTTTTGTTTTTGTTTCGGATTTTTAGCTTAAATTGTGTGTTCAAAACGTGGTTCTAGCATACGCGAAAACCGTGTTTTTGGAAACATTTTAGGCTTACAGTTCGAAATGTAGAAAAAAAAATTTAGATAGCAATATGGCAGCGTGGAGAGAAATTTGGCGCCTTGAGGGCGCGTATCAGAGTAGTTCCGAAGTAAAATATAAAATTAGGCAAAGAAACAACTTGTGCTTGGCGTAGACTTTATTAACTATTGAAGGTGTACAAGTCCCTCTTTATCAGAAGCAAAAGAATATGCTATGAAGATACTAAGATAATGTTGAAGGTAAGCGTGGTTCATTTTTGTTTACTATTATAATTTCGCTAAATCGACACGAGCAGAGGAATAAAACAGAATTAAAGTTCTTACCTTGATAAAGTGTAATCCAAACTGCGGATGGAAGGAACACGATCATTATTAGCACACACAAAATAACATATTTATTAGGTATTAGAAGAAAAAAATCTAGCGATGATTACAAGGCGTGGTTTACTATTCATTGCATAAGACGAGAAATGAGTCATACAACAAGACAATTTTGTCCTCTTTTTGGATCAGTCCTTACGTTACCCTGTGTGAGGGGAAATTACGGGGAGTTACAGCTTCTCGCTGTCGTTATGAGTTTCCCCGATATAGGTAGTTTACTCTTTTTTTTTTTTTTTTTTTTTTTGTGCGGGTGCTTCCTTTCATGCGCGACCGAGAAGCTTCTTGACACTATCATACCCAGATTTCAGAACTAGAATGCACCAGGGATAGGAATGGTTCACTCACTGATGTGAAAGTAAAATTCTACAATTTTTTGATAAGCTCACTAGAAATGATACAGGCTTTACAAAAGCAATCTGAAAATAATGATGCTAAACAGTATGATGTTAAAAAGGATCAAGTCACACTCATTGCTAGTACAAGCCAAAGTTATGCTGAAAATAAGAGCTAGAATTCCGATTAATTTACACTCAGAAGTGCTGATGAGGAACTCACGCTAGATAAAGACCTCAGACGCACAGACGATGATATTCCCAAACGTAGACGTGGTGATCAGACAGTCCGAACGAAAATTCACCGCCAGACGGCTAAGAAAGTTAAGCTCACCTCGCAAACACAAATTATTTCACCAATAATCACAACAAATAGTAATACTATCAATGGAACTGTGTAGTAATACACAGGAAAACGCCGCAGTTGCTGATAATGTAATCATTGACACAACTCAGTGTGAGGATGTACAATCAGACATAGGTAATACTGCTCCTGCAGTTAATACTGAAGTTACCAAATCCACCAGATTACCTCCAATTATTCTTATATTCTTAAAGAAAATAGATATACATATAGTAAACTCAAACAAAAGCTTCATCAATACAAATTTGACTTTATCGGGATAAATATTAGGGATGGTGTGAAAGTAATTGAATAACTCTGACAGTTATAGAGGAATTCTTAAATTATTAAAAGAATTAGGTGTTGAGCATCACTCATACATTCTTCCAGAAAATAAAAATCTCAAAGTAGTGTTGAATGGACTGAAATATAGGAAATAAAAAGCGAACTTGAGGACTTAAAATATAAAGTACTAGAGATTAAACAGATGTCAAGAAGGAGAGAAGCGAAGCTATTAAACTTCCCTTATACTTAGTACGTACCAAAGAATGAGGCCTCTGAGGCAATTTATTAGAAAATATATTTGCGATCTCAGAATAATATTGTTAAGTACAATGGCAGAGAGGGACCTATCCAATGTTTCCGCTGTCAGGGTTTTAATCACACCCAGGCAGGCTGTCACTATAAACCAAGGCGTGTAAGATGCGGAGAAAAGCATTTTATTAAAGATTACCCTGACAGGGGAAATAAGGAGAAACCACCAGTGTACGCGAACTGTGGCCAATCTCACACCTCATGTTATAAGGCGTGTGAAAAATTTCCAAAGAAAAAAGCTGACAAGCAGTAAACTTATTCCAGCAGAATTGTGGAAGGTAAATCTTTCTTGCAAGCCCTTTCCTCGGGTATTTATTGGGACACTATTAATGAGGCCCGCAAACTTTTCAGTGACTTAGCTGAGTTAGTCTCAGTGATAAAAAGCGCAGGCCTTTAACAATTTACACAACAAATCAAAGAAATGAATCAAACCACTTAGGAGAACAACACAAATAATAGT